CAGGCCTATAGTTCCCTGGATCCTCCTTCTGTCCCTCTTATGAATGGGTGTCTTTGTTCAAATCAGTTCCCGAACAATTACTGGCAGGAAGTTACCTAATTTGAAATAATGGCACAACTCAGAATGCCTGAAGATACTACTTCATGCAAGCTTTTGCAGGCTGAAAATCTACAGCAGCACTTTATCACTTGCTCTGAGCCAGACGATACTCATGTAATCAAAACACTGTGTATGCATGCATACAGAAAACATACCTGACTGTGAGGATGTTAATAACAACATCCACTAAAACTCTTTCTAGTGAAATGAAATACAAAAGATTTGTATACGAATGTTTAAGACTTACTTGTGTTTTGTCATCTTCATATCATGGCAAAAATGGCTGAAAAACCTTGCGTAGAATAAGTGCATAACTGCATGCTCCTTTCCTCCAACGTACAAGTCCACAGGCATCCAATAGTCTGCTAAGTCACTATTAAAGGGCCTGAAAAATACAATTATAGAAAAATTACAGTGTGAAAAAGAAAGATCAGCTTGACTTTTGTAGCTCATCATACCTGACTGGACACTACTGTTTACTGAGAGGAATGCATGCGTAACAGCACCTCTATTTTGTTATGAGATCTTAATTTTTAAGAAGTGATATGCTTATTAAATTACAAACAATTAAATTCCACTGAGACACAGATCCACAAAAACATTATCATAGAATCATAGAATGGCCTAGGCTGGAAGGGACCTTAGAGATCATTTCATCCAACCTCCCTGTCACAGGCAGGGACGCCTCTCAACTAGATGAGGCAACACATGGGGACCGAACAGGGATTGAAACCGTGACCTTGGCGTTATCAGCACCATGACCTAATTGACTGAGCTAACCAGCCCCTAATATCTTCCTACGTTTTAGGAAAGCATCTAAGATTTCGCATACATTACTTGAGAAAGTGATGAAAAGATGTACTTGCTCTTTAAATGTTTTTTTTAAAGTCCCCTGTGGCTAGCCTTTATGTTTCTTAGAATTTGTCAAGTTTTAGGTACAAATTTATTAGAGCAAAAGACATAAGGCATGCCTGTTCAAAAGCAGCTGATGTTTTTAACCAGAGGTTTGTATTGCTGCCATTAGGGGGCAACGAAGCAGACTAAGGCTGCTAAAAAGAGTCGTGAGGCATTGCACTTCAACTGATGGATGCTCAATGAATTTACAGTGAATTTGTCATTTCAGCGTATTTACTACGCTATGTCGGTGGAGGTCACCTACATGGTTTCCTAGCACTGCTTACTGCTTCATTAAATATTGTTCTGTCTTCTGTAACAGGCACCTGCCTGAAAAATACCATTGACATACATATTCTTCTTTAATGCATAACTTTATGGCCCTGTTCTAAGCAATCTACCTGTTTTGTCAGTCTGTTTGATTGTTCCATCTGTAATTTTTGTAAAGGCAACCCTTTTTATTTCTCACAGATGAGCCCAGAAGAAAAGAGTGGATCTGAGACTCATGTCTTCAGCGGAGCAAATCAGAACTTGTTCCCAGGGTTTCAAAATCAACAGAGTAATTCTCCCAAATTCTAGACCTGTGAAATATGGCTCATGGTAAAAAATGGTTTATGCACACACAGTTTAGCAAAAAAATCCGATTAAATCAATCAAATGGAGGCAGCGATCTAGTGCAGAAGTCCAGATAAATGTAATTATTACAGTATATAATAGATTTAGCTGCACTAAGCTGTTGCTTCAGCATCTGCACGTTACATCTGACTTCAGCTTCTGGAAAAGTCCCTCTTGTCCATGCTCCCCCTGTCCTAGGGAGCAGTCTCAGACTCGCCGTGCTCACCTGTCCCTGTTGTGAGGGTCAGTGTACCTCAGGTAGTACCACGCGGAATCCACAAATGTGTCCATGGTGTCGACTTCTCGCCGTGCTGCCGCCTTACACCTGAGCAAGAGGGAATGAGAAAAGCTGGCTTTAGATGACTGAGAAGCCTGGGGGGAAAAATCAACTGTGCACAGTGTGGCCCTGGGGACATTAAGCTTGAAAACTTAAGTCTGAAGAGTGATGTGTTCAGGAACAGCCTAATCATCTCTAGAAAATACAATTAAGCTTAGTTTAATTTCAGCTTTCACTGAGATGCAACAAATCTCTTCTAGACCTTGTAGCACAATTTTAATTTGTGATTATATCAAATCAATTTTTGCTTGGACTTATATTGGCAGCCCTGAGAAGGAGTTTTAAAATAAATTCCAGAAGCTCGGGTTACTTTCTGCTAATTTCTCCCTGAATCTAAAACATTCGTCACAGCCAATAATCACATTTAATAAACTTCCATCTGCTGTAAAAGATTCCTCTTTAAAACTCTTGATGTTAAAACAGCAGGATTATTCTAACATCAGTAAAACTCTGCAGCCTGTGACACAGTTGATACACACAGCCAGTCATATTGTTGTATAACAAATGTATGCAAGTTCTAGCTGCAGGTAAATTTAAATTTGTGCATATGTGTAATAAATAGTCAGTCTCTGTTGATTGTGTATATTTAACTCTTTCCAACTGTATATTTAGTGTCTGCTCAGGCTCGTTGACTGAGCTGCAACATGCATCTGTCACCTCAGCTTGGCTTGCTGAGGCAAGTTTGTGAGGTATCACAACCTTTCCTCACTCTGCCCCAGGTCCTTCTCTATTAGCAAGTTTTATCTTCAATGGGCAAGAAAGAAATTATACTTCCAACTGCTTTTTAATACAGAATAATTGTTTTATTAAATCCTACATATAAGGAGAGACTTGGCCAATGTAAAATAATGCCGTATTGCATTGAAACAGAAGAGCTTTTCGGTCAAAAGCAAGAACACTTTACAGTCATCAAACTGTAACTATATCTGCGTCATGCCTCTGACATCGCCTGTATGGATGGACATGGCTCACTAGCACAGAGACAGCACAGGCATCTTTCAGAATTTATATCAATATTGTGATCACAGGCACAATACTGTAATCTCATCAGAGGATCTTCAGACAACTAACACAATTACCTGAACTTGTACAGCAATGAATTACTGGGGCATCTCCTCCCATTTACAATTGCTAATGTTATTGTCATGCAAATACTCACAGACTGTTGTATCTTTCCATCTTGCTTTCCTTATTAATTCTAGACATTAAATGCCCCTAATAAAATTTAAACTAGTTCTGGAAAGAAGGATCGAAGGAAGCAATGATGTAACTTCTCAGAGTAAGCAAACCAAAGATGACTGTGCACACACAGAAGTAATAGCTCAAAGGATTCGAAACTGTAGCAGACATATGGATGGGCAATAGTGAAGATAGCTGTGAAATAGGTGAGAATTAAGAGGCCAAATAAAGGTGAGAAAAATAATAATTCTAAAAAAAATTTAATTTCAGCGAACTCCCACATTTTAGGCCTTTGTTTCTGGCTAAACAGATGCCCTCAATGAACGCAGTAGGGCAGCCACAAAACCTATCCAGAAACTGTAAGGATCTGCTATACATCAAAAGTACATTGCTGTCTGGTAAACAACAAAATCACCTTTTTAATTAAGATCAAGAGGAAGCCAAGAGTGCAGACAGTGACTTTCAGTCACATCAGGAAAATTTTCCAGTTGAAATTAGGAATTGTAGACCAAGGCATTTCTGGGGATTTTCCTAAATCTGTGGATCCTGTTTACTAAGGCTTCCCCACAAGAGTCTCACTTTAAAATACACTACGGTATGCAATTTAAATAGGCATATCTCAGAAGTAATTCTCTGTGCAGAAACATGGAAGTAAACATGTGTTCTACACAAAATACATGTTATCGAGGGTCAAAATACATGCTCCCAGAGAACCAGAGAATTGCTGTAAGCTACCTAATTAGAAGTTAAAACCACATGGATATGCTATCCTTCACATGTAAAAAGATAATGATATGTTATGAAACTGCTGCATTATCAACGAGAGCCCTAAGGCCATTTATATGTCTGATCCCCCTGTCTGGCAGCCTGGTCAGCCCGTTAGCAGCAGCACAGCACTGCACAGCTGCTGAAAAACTTCTCTGGGACACCCCATGTTCCACCAGGTCCTTCCTGCAGAACCTGCGTGCAAACTCCAGCATACAGAGTACCTAAGCAGCCCTCACGATTAGACAACTGACTTTTAGCACGTACCTTCTCACTACGTAGCGTGGGCTGTTTTAGTTCTTCAATAGCCAGATTGCAAACAAGAAAGATTACAGCATTAACGAGATGCATATACTTAGATGTCCTTGAATCTGAATTACACGCTGTAACGTACAGAGAACATGACTCTTCGTGATCAAGAATTATGCACCTGAGGAAACACTGGACTATTGCTGAGAAAATGAACACGATGTTATCTTAACACCATGTTATCTTAGCAAAAGGATCTAATTCAATAATCATTATAAGCTTTATAGGACCTCTGCTGGTGAAAGATAATGAAAATTATCGTAGGAAGCGAAGTGAGAAGTATTATTAAGAAACAGGGGAGAAGATCATTCCGTTTCCCCTTTTTACTTGTCTCCAACTCAAGAACAGTGAGCTCTTCTTCAGCTTGTTGATGAAGGAATAGCAGTGGGTGTCTGTGTTGCAAAAAGGAGCATCTAAGAAAAAACATTCTGGAGCACTATTCTGTCTTGGGACTGGTCAGCTGTTCATGCTTATGGAGAGAGCACAAGAAACAGGCAGGCATGAAACCATCTCTCCCAGTCCCCAGCAACTGTAGCACAGGCTTACCTGGGGCAGGAGCAATTCACCCACTCCGGAGCTCTTTCTAAAGGTGAGGCTCCCTTCCCCGTGAAGGTGGTTATGTTGGGCAACACCACGGGTAAGTCTTCATAAGGCACAGGGACAGTACCACACGCCTGGCAGTGGATGATGGGAATAGGTGTCCCCCAGTACCGCTGTCGAGATATTAACCAGTCTCTTAATTTGTCACTCGTTAGGTCTCCACCTACTCTCTTATTTTTGGCTCGCTGGGTGACAGCTTCTAGAGCCTCCTGCCGAGTCATGCCCGTGACCTGATGAAAAAGAGAAGCAGAAGAATAAAGGAAAAATTAGACTTGCTGTCAGTGAAAAATGCAAGAATGGGCACAAGAAAAGGGCACAAATGCAATTTCTGAGAGTCAAAGTTTATGAGCCTCAGATCAATTTCCCCCTTCCTGCTGCTTAAGACCCTCCCATTCAAGAGACTATTACATAACGGCTACCCATTTAACCCCTCTGGCTCCAAGATAATGTTCTTGAGAGTCTAAATAGAACATGGCTAAGAAAGAGCATTTCAGATCCTTCTATTTGGTAGATATTTGCATTTACTGCTGATACTTAAATCAACTGCTGTATGTGGGAGCTTCCAGAATATCACCAAAACAAGGGAGAGACTGAGGAAAGGCAATTGGTCAAACAGCTTGCTTTCTCCTGGGCTCATTTTTGGTTTCTCTGTTCTTGCTTTCACATAGATCTTAACCACTTAGATCCTACCTGTCGTGTAGCAGAACATAAACTCTGCATCTGCTATCAAATGCACTTTTTCAAGAACTATAACGCCATATCGTGTCCTGGGCTGCATCAAGAGGTGTGTGCCCAGCAGGTGGAGGGAGGTGATTCTCCCCCCTCACTCCACTCTCGTGAGACCCCACCTGGAGTACTGCGTCCAGTTCTGGAGCCCACCGCACAAGAAAGATCTGGACATGCTGGAGCGTGTCCAGAGAAGGGCCACGAGGATGATCAGAGGGCTGGAGCACCTCTCCTGTGAAGACAGACTGAGAGAGTTTGTGCTGTTCAGTCTGCAGAAAAGAAGGCTCCAAGGAGACTTATTGTGGCTTCCAGTATCTCAAGGGGGCTACAAGAAAGCTGCTGAGGGGATTTTTAGGATGTTGGATAGTGATAGGACTAGAGGGAATGGATTAAAGCTAGAGATGGATCAGTTCAGATTGGATGTTAAGAAGTTCTTCACCATGAGAGTGGTGAGACACTGGAACAGGTTGCCCAGAGAGGTGGTGGAAGCCCCATCCCTGGAAGTTTTTAAGGCCAGGCTGGATGGGGCTCTGAGCAGCCTGATCTAGTGGGGGATGTCCCTGTCCACGGTGGGGGGGTTGGAACTAGATGATCTTTAAGGTCTCTTCCAACCCTGACAATTCTATGATTCTGTGATTTAAAGACAGGATTTCTATGTCACTTCAGACAGATATGTTACCATAAAGGCTTACACCACATTTCAGCGAATATGTTGAAAAAAGGACTAATATGTTAATATTTAGCTTAAAAAAATCTATTGAGATTTTCATTATTCAGTTTCCATTGCAGAACTTGGACCAATACTGTACCTTCCTCTCACTTAGAAAAGGAAAAAAACCTCATTGTAAATTTGGTAGCATAAGGCTGGCCTGACTCTTTAAAAAAAATAAAATCCCTTTAATCATACAAAGTACTTGAGACTCTTGAGAAAACAGATTTAGCCTGAATTGTAACTGTTTGTTGGAAAGAACTCTATACTTGTATACCCACCTCTGCAGAATTAATTACTTTCTCCAAGCCATTTGGCGATGTCTCAATGACTTCAGTGAAAGAAATGCCCAGATTTTTAGCTAGTGCAGCATCTTCTGCACTGGTGTCAGGAATTCCTAGGAGGGGAAAAAACCAAATCAGTTCTGGGATTGACTGACATAGGTATCAATCATCAGTTTGAGGATAAAACATTTTATTCCTATGACATTCTCTTTATAGTGGCTTGTGTTTGCCCAAAAGAGTTTAAAAATCTAAGAACAATAAAAATGTTTTCATGTTCTTTAAGCAGGGAAATTCAAGTAGTAATAATTCGAAACACATTTTCTTGGTTTCTCTGTAATCCAAATGTCCATCAACGTCTCACCTTAGTAAGGGCTGAAAAATTGACAGTTTTGATGAAGCTTACAAAGAGGTACTAAATCTGGACAAATAATAAAATTTTCAATACAGTTATATTATCTACATACAATATATTTAAATAATAAAAATTTTAATTCTACTTGGGAGAGAAACAAATATTAAACAAATGGAAGAAACAGTCCTCTTGTTTCAACAGCAAATTTAATTTTTCTAATTTCACAGTTTATTAAAACATATCACAACACAATGGTCTCTAACATTACTCCCTCTAACTTATTATGAAAGACATGATCTGTTTAAAAACTCAGGAAAACAATTCAAGTAATAACCGGTTTTCTACTCAGGATATAACACCTGGGAGTGCTTCCTACTACTGCTCAAGTCAGATATAGAAGTCACAGAACTTAAGGCCCTTGTTGCGAGATCTTTCCCGTCACATCTTATTATTTGGGACAGTTACATATCTTGGTCTTATGACCACCTTTCAGGGTGAATTAAGAAATTTTAACTTTATTATCACACGTATTCTGAAATAACCTTGACATACTAACAAATTTATTATTTCCACAGAGATACATCTTTCTGCACATTGTTTCCTTTCAGTGAATATTTATCTAGTATTTTGAACCATCTTGCACAACTGTTGTAATCTTTAAAAGGAAAAGAAACTCATTCTGACACGCCAACGCCAACATCAGGTTGAGGAAAGCTACAGGCAAAACCTTGCAAAATATTGCTGAACACATCAGTATTATTAACATACAAACTACTTGGCTCAAATGCAGTTTAACAACCATCTTCATTCACGCAGTGAAACGCCTGCTCTACATTAATTCAGTCAATATACAGAAGCTTGGAAGCAGATAACTAAAGAAAACCAAGCAAAACTCTCCTGAAACAACTAACTCCTTAACTAGAAAAATCAAGAATCACTATCACTTTGCAACTGGAAAAAAAAGTGGTTCCTGCTTTTTGGTCTTCCTTCTTTTGAAAAGATGACGCTATTAATGTACCTTGGCAAGGCTCAACAGCTGGCATCCCAAACTTCTCGGGATGCCGGGCTCTTCCCAACACACCTAAGGTCAAAGTATGTGCCAGTGAGCTAGCTGGAAGCTTTGAATGAAAAAGATTAGGTATCTCAGCTACTTGGCTTCTCTTCTTCCACAAGGCAAGGTTCTGGTTCTCAAACCAGATTGATTTCCAAAGTTTAACACACAGGTCTAAGTAAGGTATACAGCCATGGGGGATAACTTCCATCAGCCTTATGAGGGCCATCCAAAACATTTTTGCACAGTCAGGCGTTTTATTTGGTCCAGCTGTTGTGCAGAAACAGCCAATATATGCTTCCTTTAGAGATAAAGGAGCCAAGATAACAGTCCAAGACTACCTGAACAGAATTATTACCTATTCCAAAGTATTTTACTGACCTCAACACAAATATTAGCAGATAAAAGTCAAACCTGGAAGTTTTGCGTATTTACTGGCTGAAACATTTCGCTATAAGGATGCACTTAATTTATATAAACGTAAGACACACAAAAAGCTACAAGTTGGGGTTGTTTGCAAAATATTTACATCAAACAATGGTACAGTTCTGGTTTGATTAAGGATTACCCATGCGCTGTAGGTAATCAATCCTCTTAAGAATTGCAGCTCCTCATAGTTAACTCATTAAATGTACTGATTTTATAATATTACCATTATCATCTTGTAAAGCTCTTTCCCCAGAGAGATCCCACACAGCTACTTCTCCCTTCCTTCTTCACTGATGAAGAACAGGACTACAGAACAGAGCTCAGAGTCCAGAAGAGAGTCGCTGCGTTCAAACACTTACCATGAAAGCACCTCCTGCTCCAACACAGCAACTGAAAACAATATCGTTCCGCCTACACGGGAAATGTCACGTACCTATTTTAGCATCAAGAAAATTCTCAAAACTGGTTTTTGCTGAGATGACTATGGGAATCTCCTGATTGGTAAGTAAATTCACAGCTGTCACAGAAGTCAGGGAGTCTGAAAACAAATGGAATGGTCATGGTAAGTAAAACGTGACAGAGGATATGCTAAGAACACTACTTCCTACTAGAAGCCAGTTTACCTCAAACATGCATGAAATTTAAACTACAATCTTGTTTAAAGAAGGAAGAAAATGAAAAGCCTAATCACATTTCCTAAAAGCTCAGACATATAGAAATCTTCAGGAAGTTGTACTGGTAACAAACACTTGAACAAAAACAGAGTAAGATTTGGATTGAGTCCTTGACCAAAATGCAGGCCTGCTGCAAAATTGTATGAATCAGCTCTAGTAACACCTGAATTATAAACTAGCATCCATTATTAAAGAAATCTAGTTATTCAAGTGAAACTGAAGGGCAGCATATATCCTGTGCTTAGGATTTGGTCTCTTACAGCAGAACTACAAAGCATGAGAAATATTGACTAGTGTAAAAAACCATCACCTAAATAACCTATTGATTTCCAAATAGGATATTAATATTCATATTCATATTAGAGATGAGGAACCCAATGCCCACAGAAAAGGGAGCGAATCAAGGGTGAGAATTGCGATAAACTAAAATGGATTTGCAACATGTAGCTTGGGTGGCTCAGCAAGAAAAAAAAAAAATCAAATTTGAATACTCCAAGGACTCAAATCCTAGATCTCAATTTGGACCCATTTCTAACTTTTTCAGTGCCTTTAAATTGATAATTCAAATAATTAAAGCTGCAGGCTACTAAGAGCTTCCTCTCCCCTATCTTCATAGCTAAGCTGAGGAAAGTCTTAGGTTTGTATTGCAATGCATAAAATCTGCTTAAAGTAAAGTAACAGCATTTTAGAGAATAAGTTACTATATCTTATACCTCTTAACAAAAATCACATATTTATGATTGCCACATTTTCAAATCTCAGGTGTCTGAGATACCTATACTCTAGAGAAAATAGCTCACGTTCAAACCACTACACACAGCTTTCCTCCTCTGTTAAAACAAAGTACAAAAGGAATCATTTCACTCTTTAAAAGCAACTAACCAAAAAGCCTCATGAGCAGGGAGGTGAGTGGGTAGGAGAGCCTGCTTTTAAAAATAACTTCTCTCTCCCACCCAGCAATAATTTTGATTTGATGCTGGAACCCAAAATAACAACTCCACTTCTTGAAGGCACTCTCCTTCTTATGCTCATTTGCTTGCATCATGATTACAAGACTATTATAGTTACACATGTAAAAGAACGCATGCATAGTGTACTAATGAGATAATGAAACACCTAAGGGTCAAACCTCAGACATCTCACGCTGTCAAAACTAGAAGTATTACCAGATTCTAAATTAGCATGCTTTTTCCAGGTTAAAAAAAAAAAAATATTGGTTGCTTGCCTCTATTTATATAACAATATCCTACAATATAGAGTTGTACCCCAAGAATAAAGGTATTAGAACTTTAAGGTACTTTGCCATACAATAGCTTTTTTTTTTTCCTCTTCTAGAAAACAGAAAAACACATCCTCCTAATTATTTAAATGAGAATATGGCTAAAGAAAAGAATAATGACTACTTCCATTGAAAAGAAGACAATTACAATTAATTAAAATGCTAATGTTAATGGTAAAACCATCCAAAATCTCCTTTGACTTAAATGCCACTGTTGGCCTTTCATATGTTTATACACAACAATTAGAAAAGGAAGAATTCTAATGTAGCTGCTCTCACCACAGCTGAAGTCAGGAGGAGCTGATGTGATACTGTTTGACATACACTAAGACTCAGAAGACCTGTTCCCCTCTCAAGGGGAACAGCTCTGCTCAGCTTGACATGCATTCTCTGAAAATCATTCTCTGAAATTGTTGCTCTTCTACAATAAAATGTGGTATGAGAAAAACAGCACCTTTCCCTGGGATGAGCTCCCTCTGAAAGACTTCCCTGAGACTGCTATTCCCATGCAGCAGTCTGTGAGTCGGTAAAATATATAAATGGGAAGCTCCATAAATGGCTTCAGGCGTATAGGTGTAAGCTGCCAGCTTCTCTCCTGTTACTTCCCCATTCACCTGAAAAAGAGCAGAAAAATCCCCACTGGAAGCGCATTTGTTTTACATTTCCCCTCCTTCTCATGCAACTAACAAATCTACATCACCCTGCAGATACACATGGTACTGAATATCAAAGCCTGATGCATTCCCACTATAGGGAGTTTACAGAATCAAATCTTGACAAAACTCACTTTTAAGACCTCGAGAAAGTTGTTTTAGAGCCTTGCCTCAGTTTATCCAAATATAGATATTTTTTAAAAATGTAGATATAACAAAAATTATAAAATCATATGTAATATTACATTCTGCTAGGGAGTTAGACTCAGTCCCTGGTTAAATAACCTGGAATCTGTCTACCCACTTTTAACATGTTTGCCCTGTTTCACACGTAGCCAATTTGCATCCAATGTTGCTCTTGAACACACAACTCCTGTACTAAGGAGGATAGCAGGGAGTATCTTTTCAGTCCTCAACTGCTGTCTTTCAGGGACCTGTGCTGGTCAGGGCATGAACACAGAGTAATCTCTTTTAGTAGGTTTTAAGATTTTTAGCTCTAAAAATCCATTCCCACGGCATGTTTCAGGGGTTACAGTTAGTCCAACCAAGGGAGCAGCACCAAAACTACTGACTTACCTTTAGCAAGAAGTCAAGAGAGCATCCAACACAGTCACCTATCCAATTTGCTTGCATTTCTTTTACACCATACCACTCGGGGAGATCAGACAAAGCATCAAACATAGCCTGATGCGGTAAAAGAAAGAATTAGGACACTTGGCTTTTGTGAGCATAAAAATGAAGACTATGGGTTTAATTACAGCTAGCAGCAAAATAATAAGGTGCTGGTAAAAACACAGGAAAAGGTGTTTTTATACTGCTGCTGCCTCAAATTCATCTCTTTGAGAAAAGGATTAACACAGCATAAGCTGGACATACATTGTCCCCAACAGGGACCCTCTTGTTATTAAAACAGGTCTTCCTACTGAATGGACTAAACCTTACACAAAGAACAAAACCCTCCGATGAAAACAGGCACAGCAAATATTCCCAATGGGTGTAACCTGAGGGAAGTGTAAGTGATCTAACAAGTTCAACAATCACACAGACAGGTTAAGACTTGCTTGCAGGTACAAAGCCTACTTTTGGATTAGTTGTTCGAGACAACAGCCTGGAGATGGCAGTCAGATAAAAGACATTTCTGTGTCCTACAATTTTCAATCTCTGACTTAAAATTGCAAAGTAGAGTTTCCAGCTGGCTACTCATTTTTTGTGTTTCATACTGGTATTTTAGCAAGCATAACAGGCTGTAAAATTAAGTGAGAACTTTAGGTGATAGCATCCTGCAAAAAACCCAACAACCCGAATTATAATAAGGATTCATACTAAATTAAAAAAATGCATAAAAATATTATATTCATGTAATTAGTATAAGCAAGTAGCAACAAAGCTGGTGACAAGTCTGAAGAAAAAGTCTTATGAGGAGCAGCTGAGGGAACTGGGATTGTTCAGCCTGGAGGAGGCTGAGAGGAGATCTTGTCGCTCTCTACAAGTACCTAACAGGAGGTTGTAAGCAAGGTGGAGTCGGTCTCCTCACCCAAGTAACAAGTGATAGGAGAAGAGGAAACAGCCTCAAGTTGCACCAGGGGAGGTTTTTTTTAGATTGGATATTAGGAAAAAATGCTACACCAAAAGGATCGTCAGGCACTGGGATAAACTGTCCAGGGCAGCAGTGGAGTCCCCATCCCTGGAGGGATTTAAAAACCGGGTAGATGTGGTGCTCAGAGACTTGGGTTCATGGTGGGCCTGGCAGTGCTGAGTTAATGGTCGGACTCCATGATGTTAAAGACCTTCTATGTGTATTTATACTCAGCAAGAGACAGATCCATGTATTTACATGCTTTCTCATGTGTGGCATGGAAGCAGAACAGACTATTCCAAGTCAACTAACATTTGCCTAAACAATTCTCATAGTATGTTTTTAATACATGAAATCTACCAAAAAAGTAAAGGAGAGGACTTAAAAAGGGACGAATAACTCAAAGCTCAACTCATTTTTTCCCTTTGTAACACTTCACATTTTTGTTACGAATACTCCATGACTGTCCAAAATCTTTACTTTGGCAGGAGCACAGCCAGACACATGGGTCACTTGGACAGATGGTGGATATGTTGAACAATTACAGTTAACAACTAAGAATAAGGCAACAGGTTGAATAATTTTTCCTTCAGCTATGGCTCTTAACATCAAATGTGCAAGCTCTTTATTATCTCATTAATCGCTAACAACATATGAGGATGGACAGTAGCTATTACATACTACTCAAATTAAATATCAGGTAGTTAGATCATTAGTGCATATGCAACGCATTCTTTTTCATCTGTTGTGCTTTAACGACATTCTTAAATATTTTCCAAGTTGCATAAAAGACATAGAGAATTACTTTCTAGTTACTGCTCTGCTGTACATCTATCATTCAAAATACAACAAAAAGCATGTCCTTCATAAATCATAGTATTACACCACCACTTGAGATTACTATTGCTTTCTATATCCTTAAGAGTCAAATTCATTTTTTGATGATTTTTAAATAAAAGAATGGCAAGATTTTGGAAGGTTTTTAATCATAGCATAACTTTAATCAGTTTTAGCTCACAGTTGCAACTATAGCATATCGCAGAGAACTCCAAATTATCATTATTTTAATAATTTTAGTGTTTCAGAGACTACTGAGCTTTATCTGCCACAAATAATCCATGTACATATATACACACCAAAGAAGAACGAATAACCGGAGATTTACATATACACACACGATACTTGGATACATTCTTTCTAAGAATTTTAGGCATTTTAGAAAGAATGAAATATTCCAATATACACAGAGCTATCTGGATACATTAGCATATTTTTAATAAATTCTCCTGCTTGGATATCTTTCCTAATCTACATTATATTTTGCTGGCAGAAGCACTGAAATGTGCACGTGCTCTTCTGAAACCATATAGTTTGTAAATGCTTGTCAGCAAAACTTTCTACATGTTTTTTCACTGCAGGATTAATGCATCAAGATCCTTAATACCAGTGTGATACCGATTTTAACTCCCGTTAGCTGGCCTTATTAGGAGCTACACGCTACAGTTTGACTTAGCTCAGCTCTTCTCTGGATAATGCAACTGCTTGATACAGCTAAATAGAGAAACTCATTAACTCTTAAATATATTAATGCACTTGTACATTCAAAATCCATTCGTGCAAATTAGAAGGGTTTTTTTAATTACTTAAGGGAAACCCTTTTAAAAATTTTTCCAAATGTACTATACCCTGCAAAACCACGATTCTATAAATATATGTTAAAATTATTATTAATTTAAAACATTACAGTAGCCTCTTTGTGTATATAAAATGCTTGAGGCTGACCAATACCAAATATCACAAACTAGAGTTCGAAGAGTTAAATATTAACTCTACAATTTTTTTTTAAAATCACTGACATTGTCTTAATCCTTCAAACAGTCCCATGAATTCCACACTGACCCTTAAAGGCATGAATGGAAGTCCTGGCCATCTACACCATGAAAACGGGTAATAATCAGTAAGATTCCCAGCACACAGGCAAATAAACAAAAGTAAATGCTGGATTCTGCAAGTGACAAAGAATAACAGTAGAATTACGATTCAGGACACAGAAAGTGATAAGCTTATCAAATAAACTTCATTTTCAAATTTCTTATGTCGATTTAATAGTGAGAAACTTGGAAACTTTAGGTAGCACAGTCGTTCTCCTTTCATTTTTCACACCTTGGGAAGAGACAAGGAAACTTCAAATGCCAGTTACAGCTAGTTACAGGAGAAACTACTCCCATCTTAATTAAACACAAGTTAAGGTAAACCATAAATACATTCTGGCAGTCTTCCACATCTAAAGATTGACAGACTCAGTAAAAAGCTAAAGAAACGAAAGCTACATTCAGGGACAAGAACAGACTTCAAGGCTCTTACACCTTTAGGGAAGTTTGACCTAAGTGTTGGAGAAGTTAAAGATACAGGATGAACTCCGGTTTCACAGGATTACTTTACTCTTTGAGAATACCTAGAAAATGGCGACATAGCTAGAAGATGAAAGTTAACCAGCTCAGATGATCAGACAGTCACAAAATCAAGATGATTTTGCTGAAACTCATCACAGATGACAATGACCAAGTCCGAAACTGGAAGTTTCAGCACTTAAACTACAGTGAAAAGATCAGCCTGGTCTGCATATCTACAAGGAATTCTTTGTCTTGCCTGGCTGACCAAGCAGATGTCATTTCTTTAATTCATGACGTGCCAGGGAAGCTGTGAAGACAGTGTTCTTGTCCCTGTTCACAAGAGAACTCTCAGTCTGACTCAAGAGGAAGTTTCCAAGAGAGGTTTATCAGGCCCATTTTGTTGGGAGAAGCCATGAGCCAGACTCCAAGTGTGGGAAGTGAAAAAAATCACACATAAAGCATGAAAAACTGAAGAGCCAGCATTTCTCTTCTCAAGGATGAGGCATTACCTCACGCTATGAAATTCAAAGTATGGCCAAGACTCTTACCATCCTATGACGCAGTACTCAAGTCTCATTCCATTTCATTACCATCCTGCTTAATATCTCAGAAATAAAATAGTAAATTAAAAAATCAAGCAAATAAAATAGAAAATTAAAAAATCAAGCAAAACGCAACTGCATGAAATAATTTCTCGTCTATTCAGAACAGACAAAGGGGCTGCCAGATGTGGTGCAAACCCAGAGAGAAGCTGGAGAAGATATCGCAGTGTCAGCACCACGCTAAACATCTAAGGTACTGCACTCCAGGGAGTATGAGAAGGATTTGTCTCTAAATGTCTGTACGCACTAACTAAGGAAGAGTAGTACTGATCTGTATGGCAACTGTAAATTAGAGCAGCAGAATTTGTAGGCCCTGTCACTTTCCTCAGTATTTAAATTAACATACATACACTATTTTACCAATGTGCTAAAAAGGGTGATGATTTAAGGCACAATGTGAAGTTTCAAAGTTGCTTCTATTTTTTTCTATTAAAAAAATATTATTTTCCAGTTATTTGGGTGATTTTTTGAAAGATACGAAAAATACTGTATAAAATTAATTCAGGAAGAACACGGACTATGCAAAGAGTAACCTTACAGATTTTGAGTTGAGGCCTCATCTGACTGCATAAAAAAACCCTATTAGTAATTTACAGGTGCACACAGAAAATATCAACATTTACAGATAGATTTTTCCAATGAATCTGCCTACAAGTTCAGCTGCGTAACCATAGCAACTAAATGTTTTAGCTTAAACATCTTAAAAGCACAGACAACTATTTGAATAATAATGCCATCAGTTAAGGCATTATACTTTTCTCAAAGAAATCTGTCAAAAGAAAAATTACAATTAAAATGTTCTTCAAAAATGCATAAAAGCTGTTAAGCCATTTCACATGCACTTTACAATTTTAAAAAATGGGCCATGATTACTTTATTACTTCACACAGCCAAATGCCTTCTGCTAAGCTTTTTAACACAAGTTCAGTATTTTTGCCCTTTGGAATAAAAAACCCCCCAAAACCCAAAACACCTCACTGCCAAGGGTAAATTGCCACGTGAGCCAACACTCCTCCACACCTACTAAAAATCTGGACCCTCTGCTCCAAGATGAAAGGTAAATGATATTATAAAAGTAAATGATAAAGCCTGAAATTCTGGCAAGGACTTTTGAAAAGAGGCAAGGAAGAAGGCTTGAGGAACTGGCTAGGAAGAGGGACCGCTGTAACCATGGTGTTCAACAGTGTGCCAGTTAGGGCGATATGGATTCAGACCAACTGTCAACAGCCTGAATCCAAAGGAAAAGTATACACAAGGAACAGATTTAGAAGGAAGGACTCATGTCTCTTACTACTCCTTGAAAAGTACTGGGATGACTACTGTGAGGAAGGAAGGAACATGTGCAAAGTTGAGTTGTGAAGATTGCTAACGAAGATATTCAGAAACAGGAGCCAAATTTGTAGCATTTAAGATCTGTAATTTGGCTTCTGTGAAAATGCTATTGTGAAGCTTCCTGGTTATGTCAGTGTGAGCGCAGAGTCTTTAAGAGATCAAAGTATCTGGCCAGTGTTCGCTCAGAGACAGTTTCCCTCTGATGGACAGTCTCCAGTTGCAGCTTGCAGTTCATGTGCCAAGCAGACCTGTACAGCGTTTCTTCAGAAAGTGAGACACAACATGCTACACACTATCTAGCCTCTTGCAATTTGAAAGAGGAAGGAAAAAAAATCCCACCAAATTTATTTATCTTAATCTGCCAAAGCATGAAATCCATCTAGTATCAGGTATCCGACTTAGAATAGCACAGCCTGGTAATCTGCTATTCTTATTTGAAGGTTTGGAGGAAGAAAAAAAAAAAAGTAATTTTCCCCCTTCTACAACCAAATGCTTAAAAAGCCCTTGCCAAAAGAAGCAGAGTGAGACTGGTTAAAATGTGCCAGAACCACATCAACAAAAAGAGGAGCCAGTGGAGGGTGAGTAAAAAAGCAAAATCCAAACCACCTGCTGATACTTGGTAGCATCTGTCACTGTACAAGAAATGGGAGGACAGGAAGGCAGCGCTTGCCAAAGCACTTGCGCTGGGACCAGTACGGCATCATTCATTGATCTGGTTGTATCAGCCAGCATAGACCCTACAGAATATCAGTCCTACAGAGAAAAACATTTTGGGAAACCTTTACAGAGATCTGTGCTCAACTGTCCTCTGCAGTCATGCTTAGAGGTTTTGCAGAGGTTGATGTAAATGCTCGTCCCCAAATGAAAAGCAATAGCAGCTCTTATTCATGATGCCACTGGGATGTTCAAGAACAAGGGGCTGTTTGCACTTTTGCACAGGGGATATGGTAGTCTCCCAAGATGACACCTTAGAGGGGAAGATGAAGGGGTGTTGTGGAGGCACAAGTTTCTTCTTGTCATCAGCTGGGCCTATTATGTACTGGAGAATGACACACAGGAGATGATATCACCCCAAGAGCTGATGTCTCTCCTGTAACAACATTTCTTAGGTCACAGACTAAAGAAAAAAAATACATTTTCATCCCCTAAGAAAGGTGGATTATTGAGCAAGAGGTAAAAATCCCATAAACAAAGGATGTTTTCAAGGTTACTCAGAAGCTCCTCAGTCTTGTCTTTTGGTCTTCATGAGCAAAAATTTAAGGCTGATTCACCCTTCTTAGAGGGAGATAAGCAAACAGCAATTTTGTGCAAGTATGGATACAGCCCAGAAATAACAGGCATTACTTCCTACAACCTTTAGAAAGGCAATAGACAAAAGATGTACCAGTAAAGGTAGAAACTCTAGTGAATCTCCAGTCTCAAACTGAGGGAAATAGGGAGTTAGGGTAGACCTTGAAATATCACAAAGGTGATCGTGAAATCTGGCAGCAGGAGCACCAAGAAAAACCTCAGAATGTTGTCAACGTTTTGCGAATGTGTAGACATGCTCCATTTTTCCTTCAGCTACAGCAAATGTTCCCTCCTTACTGCCAGAACAGGCAGCAAAATCAGAAAACATGCATCCCAAGTACACTCTGTGTATGAAGAAGCAAAACAAAAAAAGGATGTTTAAATAACTTGAAATATTTTTAAAATTATATGTATGAAGCAAAGTAAAATAGAAGGTCCAGAGGATTCTTCAACAAAGAGCTCATCAAGAACTACAGTTCAGACACACGTGGCAATCAATGCCAGGTGACAGGCTGACTAGGTGAACAAACTTCTAGTTCAAAAGATTGCCAAGTGGTACACCCAAAATACACAGAAAAGGACTCGATGGTTAAATATAGAACAACAATGTGTGAATGAAGAATCCCTTCATTCATCTTTCATTTACGCTTTTTGATTTCTTCAAAACTTAATCCCACAACGATTAATTAGAATTCTTAAAGATATAAATAGAAAGACTGCAGGTATAATACATTTTCTATACACACAGAGGGACAGACCATATATAACATATATATATAATTATATATTACACAAACATGCATATATAAAATGCAACAGTCAACTTGATGAATATTTCTTGATGAAAAGTCACCTCTTTTAAGCGCTAACATAATTTCCCAAAACTGCATTTTCATACCTTTGCATAAGCAGTAGTTTTGATAAACCACTGTTTGAGGTATTTCTGTTCCACTTTTGCTCCTGAACGCCACGAGCAGCCATTGTCATCCACCTGTTCATTAGCTAGAACAGTCTGATCCACTGGATCCCAATTAACCAAGGCCTAAAAAAAGTTGCAGAAAGAAAAAAATATTTTCAGCAGCTATTTCAAAACCTGAATCTTACTTTTCAGGAACGACCAGTATCCGGAAACATTCCCGGGGCCCCTGAGTTTTCTACATTTTTATAACATTCATTTGAATCAGTGACATGGACTTAACCAAAGATGTTTTGAGTATTTATCTTCTCAGAACTCAAAAAACCCAAGAATGCAGTTGGCAGCATTTGCCTTGGTTGATCACGCTAGCAGGATAAGCTGACATGCAAATATTAATGAGGCAAGTGTTCCAACTGACTGTACCGCAAACTACACAGACGGAGGCTTAAAAGCTGCCCACCACGAATCCAAACACGTTGAGTCAGACTGAGGGGGACAAATAACTCACTGAGGGTCTCCAACTTGAGAGGACGGAATCAAAAAGAATTATGATTGTGGTCAACTATACTTCAAGTGAAAGGGTTATTTCCTGTGCATAACTTTTGTCAGCCGTGTGAATTTTGAAATCCTCCTTCCTTATGAATACAAACACATTAAAGCAAACCAACTGTTGGCATTCAACTCTGCAAACCTTGGGATTTGAGGGCTAACTGAAATACCACACATAACAATGCAGAAGGAGCAAAAATCAAACTGCTGAACAATTTAGCTGATCACTTACCACAAAGGATCTAAGACCATAAAAGAATCCTAACGGTCAAAAAAATAAACCACAAAAAATCCACACCAAATCCAGCATATCAAATAGTGAATCTTTGTGCCGCTTGTCACTTAGATGTTTGAACAGATCTTGCCTATGAAAACTGGAGAAGTAGCTCAGTAACACCCTGCCCTTCCAACATTACCTTCCACCACTAACCTCTTTGAGTTCAGAGAATAATTAAGAGTATCTCACTAATTACACCCTACAGGGTTTCCTAGTTTCTACAGAATACAAATTAAACATCAGGGCATATTTAATAAATCCCAGCTTCCATTTTATCTTAGAAACTCACTAAATTGCAGCTTTGTTTAGGTGCAGCTGTTCAGATACGCTGCAACCGCACTGCCTTGGCTATAGAGAGCTCTTTGGAACGCTCATTCAATAAGCCCCCTCCTTTTCAGATATTCTTTACAGAATATCATAGGTCAACAATTCCTTAATGTACTGCTAACAGATAAACAGCTGTGATCTTTTATTACCATATTTTTGTAATATTTCAGAAATCACAAAATTTCCAGGAATTTGGCACAGAATCTCCAATTATCCTGTTCAATCCTACCAGTTCTGAGACACTATCAATGCCATGTTATACAGTTAAAAAATCTCACTTTTCAAGAGACTTTTAATGCTTACATGTCTTCACAAGATGGAAGTTAAGATCCAGAAAATTCCAGATTAAAGCTTGAAATAAACAAACAGCAGCTATATTCTGGTCCTGCACTTCAGTGTATATTGCTGACAACAAGCATTTCTGATTTGACTTGCTACAATATCCATTCATGTCAGGTACACATAAAATTTAATTACATATAAAGTTATGTATAAAATTCATTCTATTTCGCAGTGATTTAAAACCAACAGAGTAAAAAACATTTAATGAATGTGAATTACCAATCCAGAAATACACTGTTGGCATGAGTGACTTGAATGAATGCACCTGCAAAACATTAAAAGGTGAAAGTTTGTACCTACCTCTTTTTGATAAACTATCCCAGTTTCAAAAAGCTTAAGAAAGAGGTATTGTGTCCATTTGTAGTACTCTGGTAAGCAAGTGGTTATTTCCTGTGCCAAAATGAAAACAAAATAAAAATTCCTGAAATGATTCTTAGTGTTTTCTTATAGCGTTTTAACTTACATGCTTAATTGCGGAGCGTATAATACAAAACATAGAGAAAATATAGATTTTTTTTTTTTATGCATGTGCTCACGTACAAAACAGCTCTTCTTACATCATAAATACGTAACACCAAACAGACCACATCCTCCTCCTCAGCAGTCTTCCCGTTCACTTGCTCTTGTTTGAAGAAGAAACATTTCTACAAATTTACTGTCAGAACGCACCTGTTCTTACTGAATTGAAGGGCGACTCCTGCACTGAACTTTAAAATCAAGAGATGTTCTTGCTGATTTGGAGTTCCAGGGCTGACAGGAAGCCACTGACAAAATTTATTGGATTCGCAATAGCTATCAGCTACCTGAAAGGGCTCCAAATGTGAAATATCTTTCACCCAGGCTTTCCTACCTCCTAAGCTTCCCACTACACACGACATCAGCAGTATCATCTGCTACTCAAGTGACATCTGAAGCACTCTAAATAAAAATTTTATTCTTTTTCTACAACTTTACATTCAGGTGCTGAAAACACTGATTTGAACTTTACATTTCAGTGCTGAAATGTTGCTTTGAACAATTAATATGACCTTTGAATAGATGTGCCTCAAAACTGTGTGTAAGTCTTTCAAGATCAGAAAGAGACATTTAATGGCAAGTTTTCAGCTCAGCATGTGAAGAGTTAGTCATGAAAAACAGTTGCTTGATTAAATCGCTGTTCTCTGTACTTAAAAAAACCAACCACTTGATAAAAGTCTGATTTCCATCTCTCCAACTAAACACTATCCATTTAATCATTATTTTTTTCCCTGCTTCTCCATAAAGTGGCATCAGTTCTTCTGCCAGTGTGATGCCACCACAGGTACCGGAGCGTCATCACTGGTTTAAAATCTTTTCAGAACCAAACTGTACCCCTAGAGCATTCTCAATTATACAATTGTTCAACAGGACTTAGTTGCAGAGTATCAAAGCCCTTTCCACAGAGACTCCCGAAAGTTCATTAATCAAAACTTGGTTTACTAGAAAAGTGAAGGTAAGCCTCAAAGAAAAGGCACAGAGATGATAAATTATTTTTCCCTGTGTTCTTATACTTCCTGCCACGGCTTTCTGTCCTGCCAGTTCTCCATCTCTTCCTCAGAATGGAAGGATTAAACAAAAGTCTGTAAGCAGAGGTGAATTTTCTCCATTTTCTTGAAATGCAATCTGCAACACTGAAGTTTTGTGTGTTCCATAATACAGCCTACACACACGATTTCACTGTTTTGAAGTATCACTGTATTACACATAACGAGTATCTCTGACATACCAACAGCCTTAAATATAAGAAAATAATTGTCGAGAACGTGTGCAGTGAATCTTTCACAACAAATCATTTGTTTTCAGAGCAACTTTATGGCTATCAAGGAAACTAACACCTTACTAAGAAGGCTTATACTGCAAAATTTTGCAGTATATGTGACAGGATGCAAGACAAACAACTTTTTAGATGCAAGACAAACAACTTCACCTTCAAGATTAAATAAAACTGATGGCAGGTCTCAGACTAAAACTAATCCTTTTCCTTTTCAGATCCACAATACTGCTATAAAAATCCAAGATTAGAATCTCTATCACTCTATTCAGAATCATATTAAGGTGATAAGTTAATGCGGAGAATATAAAAGTAGTGACTGACTTCGATTCACTGGTAAATGCAATAGCCCTACAATTGCTTCAAAAATTAATCTCTTTTTTACCTTGAAAATGACATTAGCTTCTATCTGATCATCTTTGGCCAAGTTTTTAAGGTAAGCACTTGATTCTCAAGCATTAGTGTTGTAACTAAAATTTGTATTTTCCAAAACAGTCATACTATGAACACCTGCAAAAATACAAGCTTGTGCTTCAAATTTAGAACAACATAACCAAATCATAATTTCAAGTCACTAGTTTTAAACCCTTGAGTATATTGTAAAATTATACATATTTTAAAAAGCACTCCTCAAAACATCTATACCTCAACACAAAGGTATGCTGTTTCATAAATAACTATTTAAACTATTGCATAACTTCTAACACAGAAAATTGCTCCTTTGAAAGAGCTGAAAAGGCAGGGAGAAAAATGTAATGAAAAACTGAAATAACCTTAATGAAAAGAAAGATTCTACTAAACCTCGAGATTATCAGATGGTATCAGTATGTCAAAAGTGAGAGAAATCTCATAAAAAGCTTCAGAGAAGCTCAATTTTACAGTTTAACACCTTAGGCTGATCACTTTCAAGAACTTCTATGCTGTCATAAATAAACTGGAGAAATACGATATTTTTCCATATTCCATCATACAACAAAATAAAACAATGTCCTTTAAAAAATAAAATCTTACCCTTTCCCATGTAAAAGACAGACCTAGGGCATCAAACTGTTCCCTCATGTGTTGAATATTACTGCAAAATAAATTAAAAAATATCAGTAGCTTTAAATATTTCTATGGCGTGATCATATTTAAATCAGCTGCTTATAAAGTTCTGAGCTATCAAAATCAGTAGTTAACCTCAAAACACAATCATCACACTAACAGTCAAGCTCAAAGAACAGTCAGAATACTCAGATAATGTTTTTTAAAGTCCCTAGTCTATTCTGGTTCAATCAACAGATTGATCAAACCAAGACCGTGGCTGCAAACTCAGCTGAGCCAGCACAAGGGAGGTGCTGGGAACACCCCAGGAGGTGACAAGTGACCCCAAAACTTCTGGTGGCAGTGCAGCTTTAGATAAACTCAAGTCAACTGTGAAACTGTAGGGCTAGACCTTGCCCCAGATGGTTGATATTAAAGCCACAAAATAAAACACATCAGAATATACAGTGAAGCTTCAGTTTGAAAATGTACTGACTACAGTTTATCAAAATACCACAATTACACAACATTAACTAGTGGCCTGGTGTGAAATCATTCACATACTTTAAAATTGCTTAAGATTTCTCAGAGACTTTTAACTCCCTACTAAAATGCACTTAAATTAGATTAAAGTGTCATCTGTCCTCCCACAATGGCTAATCCGAGTCACAAAACCAAGCACTTAGTTCTGATCGGAGCAACTTTGCACGGCTGCATAACTGAGTAATGCAAATCTTCAGCACGAATAGCCATAGAGCTCCAGTTACACTTTTAGCACCTTTTGCTACAGGTACACCAGGAAACTCCCTTACAGACTCATAGCGTTCACAGGGAGAAAGCATGCTTGTAGTAGCACTGCTTATACCAAAGTCAGTTTACTGACCACACTCCAACATTCTGTGTGCAGTTATTTTCAGGCTCCCTCAAAAGAACAAACCCAACATTTACGTCTTGATGGTAACTGATTCTCACGGATATCCTTGTCTAATCCTTATATTAAGGAAACTTTAAAAAATGAGCATAACTAGCTCAGAATTTGTGTGCAGCACTGTATTGGGTTGGCTCAGCCGGATT